AGTCTCCTTGCCTGGAGGTTTCTGGTCACTCGTGTGCTAATGAGGACCCCAGCAGACAATCTCACTCTGCCTGCCAGCAGAGATTCATGACATCCTGTTCTGAAACAAGGTGCATCTAAAGCAATGCTATGCCTAGAGCCCAACATCCTCCTTGTAACAATAACACTTATAAGCCATTTCTTGGATTTTTTTTCCCCAATATATTCTGGCAAAAACAGCAGGACAGTGAGCACGAAGGTGAGAAAAGAGAGCCTTTTAAAAGAAGATTTTCTGATTACCAGCACTGTTTCACCACTTTCAAGAACTACCACTGGCCCTGAAATCAAGACTTGATGATCTGGGCACATGGTAGCACATACCTATAATCCCCAACTACTCTGAACACTGTGTAAGGAGATGAATGCAAGTTAAGTCCAGCCTTGGGGAATTTAGAAAAACCTTGACTCAATATAAAATGTTATGGTCTAGAGAAGTAACTCGGTGTTAAGAGTGCTTTCAGAGTATGCAGGACTCCCTGGGTTCCTCCCCCAGGACTGAAACAAGAAAAGACTAACCCATCATGATGTCTGCTGATGTTGGGAACCCACCCACCTTACTGAAGCTCACTTCACTTACAGGTACCTGCCGGCTCCCACCAGCACCCTGGCCAACAGAGATAAAGGAAAGCATGAATGTAACATAATAATCATCTGATAAACACAATGCAGCATACTTTAGAAACCACCTCCAATCCCAGCAGAATGTGATAGGTTGTCCCAGCTTGTCTCCTGTACCTGGATGAATAACATTCATTCATTCATTCAATCATCCACACCTCATTCCTCCATCCATTCTACAGAGAGTCAGCAGAGCAGCTGCAACAAAATGAAGCGTGAATATGAGGGTAGATTCCCAGCTTCACTACCTACTAGCTATGACTTTGGGTAAACCATGTAATGTCGCTAGACCATGGTCTCATCTCTAAAAGAAGAGCAATAATAGTGTCTCTTATTAGCATACTCACAATGATTAAATAACTAAATTAATGTAAGTGCTTGGCAAAGAATAAGCCCTCAAGGGTTAATCAGCATAATGACAGTAATTATAATAATTACTGTGACTATTAAAAACATACCCTCATCCACCGCTTTGTGCCAGGCTCTGGACTAGGCAGCAAATAATTTTAGCCTTTTGATTTTGCAAGGTTCTTCAGTGGGGCATTGAATTTCTCAGGGCTACACCTCTAATATAACTTTCCTCACTTGCCAGGCATGGGTGCGAGGCCAAGCACCTGAGTATTTAGACAGACCCCTCCCACCCTCCTCAAAGCCATGTTTAAACAATTATGAGCATTATGTTGCAGGTACCCATGACCATAGGAGGCCAGCTCAGCACGGTGCTCATCTTGCAGAGGCGTCTTTTGTATGCGTTTTGGGTTACAGCTGGGCAATGCAACGCCATAGAGTCGCAAAACGAGTTTTCATAAGCTCAACCTGTCACAAACCAGGCAAGGGCTCATGCTGACATCCCCACAGTAAGATGAAACAGCATGCTTCGTCAGGCACTAAATACTACCACAACTCCAACGTCAGGGGGACACTGATTAAAACTGATGTCAATAATTTCTGAAACACAATATGGTCTTCAGATGCTCTTTTTGAAAAAAAGAAAAAGAAGACAGAAAGAAAAAAGGGGTGGGAGGGCCCAGCAACCCAGGTGGTTTTAAAACTGTTCATGCATTTTTCTCTTGAATGTACACCCCCTCACACACACACACACACACACACACACACACACACACACACTACACACACACCATGCATGGGTGCTCCTTAACATAGTGAATGTAAATGCACATGTGTATGAAAGCATGTGAACACTGCTGATACATATGGGCGGAAGAAAGTATTTAGTTATTCCACTGAGAACTGTCGAGGCTGTAATGTTATACATAGTTCTGTCTTTCAGATTGTTTCAAGGGTTGGTTTTTTTTGCGGGGGTTCCCCCAGAAGAAATAAAAAATTGTATTTAAAATAAAGCTGAGCTTTACAATGGCTCACATTTATTCTGTAGAAAAGGAGTAAAATGAAAACTAGACCGAAGAAAGCAAGTAAGATGTTCATGGTCTTAGTAATCTGTAAATACTTCAGACCTGTGGAGAAGAATTATCTCCAGCCAAATAACATCAACGTATTTAACATTTTTGGAGATGGGGGAGAGGAGGCAGGTAAGGAGTAAGCCTAGGGAAGTCATTGAAGTCTTTTATAAACTATGTCTGATTATTTTTTAAAGACAAAAATCAGAATGTCACCATGACAATGCCTCATTTTTATCAAGACTGATTTTTGGGATTTTTTTTTTTAAGGAAAAAGAAAAACCCACAGTACTCAGCCTGGGTGGTAAATGGTCAGGGCAGCTTGACTTTATTGTGTCAATGGTGTAAAATTCACAAGATGGGATTATGTTTGGTGGAAAAATCTTGAGTTGCTGATAGACAAAGGTAGTGTCTGAAGGATTTATTAATGCTTTTTCCTTGCTCAGTACCCTCCAGTATCTCAGAACACTGGTCAAACACTAATTCATTCACATATCTTCACTACCGAGCCTTTTCATAAAAAGCTTGACCTTTCATTGTAAATCACTCCTAAATGTTCCTTGCTGGCTTTCTCTTTTACAGAATCATGGGAAAAAAAATCACTAAGACTTCAATTAAGACTTTATGGGAACTTCAATCTGATGTTCCCAGCTATATCTACAAGGTATCAGAACATCTATTCAAAAAGGAAACTATAAATAACTTTAACCGAGTTGAATTGGCTTTGCTTTTATGAAATGACTGAATAATTGGCAAGATTTAAAGATACTTTAGCTGAAAATTAAAATAACTTCAGTAAAAAAACAGAAAAAAATATTGTTAGCCGATCATTTGTCATGTAGACTATGTACTTATTAGGCTTAATTAACTTTTTGAACAAAAACTGCTGGCTAATTACATTAGTTAATATGTTGATTGCTCAATTGGGCCAAAAAAAGCGCCAACCCAATTTGTGGATAGTACTTTGGTGGAAAGACAAAAATCCTAAACTACAGAGATTAATTTAAGTGTATTGCCATTATTACAAGACATGGAGGTTACATCTTCACATCCCAAATGATAGAGAGGCGGGTGGGCAGTGAATCAGAACAATACCAACTCTAGGAGAAATCTTCAAACCAGTAACATTTTACCACATATCACCCCCTCCCCTTCAAAGTATTCACTCCCATTTGTCCAATTAGGCCCCGCTGGAGAGCATACAAAGTCATCTTTGCTATGCATATACAAACTAAAACTGATAGCAAACCCCTGGGAAGCCCTTCAAATGTCAATAAAGGGTTTTTACGCACAAAAGGAAGCAAAGAAAAGAGGAAAGGGAGAGAAGAGATGGGAAAAACCAACAATTCTGGGCGAGTTGAGGAGATCAAAGGAAATTTATTCTCCAAGACCACTAAGTTCGGGTGTAACTTTTCCTTGTAGAATGCCGAAACATCTACTCACACGGGAGACTAGTTCTGTCTTTTGAAAAAGGATGTACAATTATGTCTGCAGAAGCCAGGCATGAGTGTGAAAATGGAGGCCCAGTCATGCAACCCGAGGAGCAAGCATGTGCAGACTAGGGCGCCAGCCTGGGCCTCTGTGCCGACTGACCCTCCAAGACATGTTTTCCATTCGCTTGTTCAAAAGTCTCGATCCTCAGTCGTGAGGCACAAACTATTCGACAACAACATGACACAATTAATCAGAACCAGACCTCAAAACGTGTGTTTGTGGGGACCAGCAAACTTTGCAATGTGCTTCAGAGGGTGAAGCAATTGAAGATACTCACATTGGCTGTTTGGCATTGGGGGGGAGGGGAAAGAAAAAAGTCTATATGTCCACAAAAGATGCATGCCAAATGGTGCATTTACTGTCTAAATGGTTTGTTACAATCACTGTGGGATTTCAAATTTTACATATCATACTGAAAAGGAGGGTATCTCTCATTCATCTGCATCAACTAACTTGTACAACTCAGAAGCAGAAATACTTCTTTTTTGTCTCCTTTCTGACCCAGGCATATTCACTGGTGCCTGGTTTTGTCACATTTCTCTTTCAGGAACTGAAAACTCTATTAAAACCTAGACGCTGGGGCCTTAGTTAATTCAAGACTGTTCAATTTCATACAACGCTGAAGCTACTATTTTTTAAAAATCCGGTATACTTCTTTAGACCAGGATTGATTAGTTTAATATTGTTACTGCATCTTTCTTTCTAATCTGTAGATAGTAATTAATTGAAATCACACCACTCTCCTTTTGTTAACATAAACACGCTGCTCACAAAAAGGAGGAAACATCATTTTTAACCATAAAAAGGCAAATGGAGAGTGAAGGAGTTGTTCGTCGGGTACCAAGGTGGCTCCATATTGCAGACTTCTCCTTGACCTTCTCTCAAGGAATTAGTATTGGAGGCGCTGGAGGTTCCCGGGGACAGGCCCACAGTCCCCAACCTGGATCCCCAACCGGGCGCCCAGCTGCAGCCCTATGAAGAGGAGGGGGCGGCGGGGGAGGGGGGGCGGAGGTGAATCCCCAGGACTAGCCAAACTGAGAGAGAAGGCAATGAATCTGTTTCCGTTTGGATCCGGGATTAAAGAAACCTGTTGCCAAATTATCCCTGAACCACCACCCTCACCCCACCCCCCCCCCTCCACCCGGGCATCATTTCTCCAGCTGCAACCCGGCTTCTCAGAGGGCACTCGGGGGACGGGGGAGGGCCGGGGGGCGCACACCCGGGCGTGCATATTTCCTTCCACGAGAGTGAGTGACCCCCCTCCCAACCCTTCCGAGTCCCCGGACCCGCATTCCCGAACGCCTCTCAGGGTTCTTCTCTCCCAGGCTTCTAGCGACGGCCACCGGCAATCCTCAGCTGCACCCGCGCGCGGCCAGGCCGGAGCCTCCCGCGTCCCCACCCTCCGCCCGCGGCGCCGCGGCGCCCCACTCACCCACGCACTCGTTGGCCTCGCGCGCCGTGGCGCGCTGCCAGGGTCGGTCGTAGTGGAAGGGTTTGCAGCGGTCGCACTCCGGGCCGGCGGTGTTGTGCCTGCAGTCGCACACCAGGCTGTCGTCCCGGTCGCGCACGCAGCGCGCCGCGTGGCCGTTGCACTTGCAGCGTCCGCCCACCTGCAGGTCGGACACCGCGTAGAAGTACGAGTCGCGCGCCAGCTCCGAGTCGTCCTCATTCTCGTCGCCGAACGTGTGCAGGCGGCTGAAGGCCACGCGGATGTCGGTGGCCGTGACCCAGTCTTGCAGCACCGGCGAGTTGTCGAAGTCGTGCGCCGAGGGCCGCCCGTCCAGCGTGCTGAAGGCGATCAGGCCGCCCGACAGCGGGCGCATGTCGGTGTGCGAGTCGGTGCACACGGCCTCCTGCTCGTTCTGCTTGGTGATGGGCGCGCGGTGCGGCCGGTTGTACATCTTGCGGCACTGCGTGGAGTAGAACTGGAAGGGCACCCACGTGCGCCCGTAGTCCATGGACTTGTAAATGGCCATGGACTCGGGCCGTGGCGAGCAGAACTGCAGGCTCACGTAGGTCACCTCAAACTTCTTGCCGAGCGACAGCGTGAGCGTGACGTTGTGCGGGAACTGCAGGTAGTTCTCCGACTGCCAGCACGTCAGGTTGTGCGGGTTGTTGAGATCGGTGAGGAAGGCGGGCGGGTGCGCCTTCTTGGGGTCCGAGGCGTTGCAGAGGTGGCACGAGCGCAGCCGCTCCTCGCCACGCTCGCTCACCACGCAGTAGCGCGCCGGGGGCCGACCGCAGGTGCTGGACACGCGCACGTCCTTGCCGAAGGCCGCATTGACAAAGTCCGGGATGCAGCGGCGCGGGTGGCCGTTCTCATCCGAACAGGGGTCGGGCTGCGCCGCCTGACCGGCGAACATGCTGAGCCCGGGCCCGCC